AAGCCGTTGGAGCCTCCGGGCCTGTCTGACCTCCTTAGAGTCCATTCCCTTTGTAACATCACAGTGAGCACCTTTTGCCCTTTCCTGTTGGTCCTCTGGGCCTCCTTCCTTTTTTAGGCATTCGTTCTTCCAGCGGCCTTCACCCTTGTAGTTTGCACATTGATCTGTGCCTAACAGGTTTCTTCTTTTTCCCCCCTTTCCTCTTGGCCCTCCGGCCTTGGGCCTTTGGTTTCCAGCCATCTGGGCCTTTTTACTTTCCCTGTTTTAATAGTCTTAAAAGGCCATGTCAACTAGTTGAGAAGGATTCATCCCCAAATGCCCCTTCAACTTTCTGTAGCTTTTTCCTGGTATCTGGAGCACTTTGGCTAATAAAAGCCCAGTTTACAATGCAAACGTTCTTTGGTTGGGGAGGGAGGAGTCTGTGTCTGTATTTCCAGTAGGCCTGATAGAGTCCTTCCTGAAGAGCAGAAGGACCCTCGTCCATTTTTTGTTGGCCTGCTTGTACCATATTCAAGCTCTTCTGTTTGGGGACCCCTTCCCTGAGCCCGCCTACAATGCGTCTCCGATGATGCTCGAGCCGGGCAACCCCGTCATTAGGGTCCCAGTTGGGTTTGAATGGGATAGCTCCTGCCAGCTCTGGAGCATGGGCCGGATCTTCTGACGGAGCCGGCGTGCTTCCTCTCTAGCTCTGTCATAAACTATCCCCTCCTATTCCCAGTTAAAAGGACGTTAACAGAGCCTGGATATCAGCCCAACTGGCAGTATGCGTAGCAAAGTAGAAACTGTCGGGTGCGTAACTTTGGTGGGATCCTCCTGATAAGAGGGATTGGAATTCTTTCAGTGAAGCAAATTCAAGGTAGAGAAGGGGTGTGGGCCCAGCAGAGCCTTGTGGGTTGTCCAGCTTCAGTGGCTCCTGATGGCAAAGTGGAAATTGCCCTGCGAGGAGGTAGCTTTATCCTCTCCAAATTGAGTGCCTTGTTTCGTCCTCGAGGGAGATGGGGCAACCGTCTCAAGACTGTTTTCTCTAAGAGTCCAGGGTAGGGGGGAAGCTCTTAGGTTCTTGGAGGACTCGGAGAGGGTGCCTTAATAGTAGACCACAAGGCAGCCTCTTGCTCATCCCTATCCTTCCATTCCTGATCCTTAGTTTCTGGTACTACCAATACCACATCCTCTCTCCAAAATACTAACTTAGTCCCTATTCATTTTCATCAAAATCAGAATTATGCAGTGACATAAAGGCCTTTACATATGGCATCTCTCCCCACTTTCCTGATCTTTTTTTTAAAATATATTTTATTGATTTTTTTACAGAGAAGAAGGGAGAGGGATAGAGAGTTAGAAACATCGATGAGAGAGAAACATCGATCAGCTGCCTCCTGCACACTCCCCACTGGGAATGTGCCCACAACCAAGATACATGCCCTTGACCGGAATCGAACCTGGGACCCTTGAGTCCGCAGGCTGACGCTCTATCCACTGAGCCAAACCGGTTAGGGCTACTTTCACGATCTTTGACAAAACAATTCCAGCTGTAATATGGTATAATAATTCAAAGACCCATTCAACGGCCACCTCTCTCCAGAATCTAAATTATGCATAGGCCAAGCGTATTCCAGTAAAATACCATTTTCCTTTGTGTCATAGGTGCATATGCATAGGTAGCCCATTCTGTCAGGATTGGTCCTAGTGGGCTGCCTTTGGGACTGAACCACTGCACCCATTTGCCAAGCAAATTAAACCAAACAAACAGTAAAGAAAAGACATCAACAAATAACAAAAATACTTCTCTACACTACACATGACAGATGAAGGCTTTCCCTCTTGTCTGTACAGCCAGACAGGGTGCCCTGTAACCCGGTGCCATTCAGGCTCAAGGAGAAACCAACAGCTGTGTCTCTATGACCACCCGGAGCCCGTCGGGTGCAGAAAACAGGCAAGGACCATGGAAGCCGCTTGCAACCAGGAGCTGATCAGGCTCGATCCAGCTGGGAGGCAACAGATGCCTCCCCTGAAAACACAGGGGGTTGAGCTGAAGGTGGAAAATTCCTGGCAGCGCCGAGAATAAAGGAAAAGCCTTGGTTTTAGCCCACAAACCCCTGGGCTGGCAGCCAGTGGGACCTCTGGTACTTACCCAAGAAAACGTCCTGCTCGCAGTCCCAGCGGATTTTGAAACTGGACACTAAAGGGAGTCCAGGGGCTGGCTGTCCCTACAGGGCCAATAAGCAGAGGCAGGGTTGAGTCTTTTATATTCATGTATTCAGTTTGCCGGCCATCGGAGAGAGCAGCAGGTATGATACCTTGAAAAACTGCTCTAACATCTGCCAGTCGCCCGAATATAAGGAGTAGGGGGAAAGGAGGCTACGTGCAGCTGAGGAATGCAGCAGGGAGGGGAAGAGGGTATGTGCTTAGCGCATCTTTCCCAGGATCTTCAAGTAGGATGTCACAACAGCCATCCTGTTCCTGGAATTGGGAAAAGGACAGCGTTCCGGAGACAAACTCCCAGAGGGCTCAGCATCTGGCCCAGTGACCAGGTCAACATATAATCTTGGGAAGAACAGACATGATTTAGAATAGCTGTGAAATTACTAGTGCCCACCCTGTTCCCTCTGTGCCCCATCAAGAACTCTCTAGTCCAAAAAGATGTAGCTGATTGTAAAATTAGTGAAGTATTAACGCATAGCCTGGGGTGGGGGTGGGCTGGAGGGGGTCACTGGGGAAAAAGGGGGACATATATAATACTTTCAACAATAAAGAATTAGTTTTTTAAGTATTATACTCTATTTTCTGTTAAACAAGTTTGGTATTGCTGTTCTCTAGCATTTTTTCCCCCTGAAATAATGATGTTTGGCTATATGCATTGGCAATAACTGTCTATGTGGAAAAGGGAGAAAATAAACAAAACAATGTGTTTCATTTTCTTATTTCCAAGTGTGAAAACCAGTCCCTATTGAAATGTCCTGAAACAGTGCTGCTGATCATCAAAATATATGCCCTAGATATGAGTGAGGACAGTGAAATGAGGACATTTAAATCAATGTAAAGTGGAAAAATTCAGAAGATTAAAAAGCAGCATATCTCAGGCCACATGGAACTAATTTTTGATGTCTCTTTCCTAGAAGGAATAATTTTTGGAAGTGGGCAGTAAGGTTCATCTCGAGCATTTAAAAAAAACTTTATTTTCAAGTACAGTTACATTCAATATTATCTTGTGTTAGCTTCAGGTGTGAAGCATGGTGGTTAGATAATCATATACTTTACAAAGTGTCCCCCCAATATTTCCAGTACCCACCTGGCACCATACATAGTAATTACAATATTATTGACTAGTCAGCTTGTTTCGGTAAGCCAGTGTATCAGAACAAGATTAGTACATCCTTTTGGATACAGAAATCAGTTCTGCTTAGCTCCTAAGCAAAGAGCTGATCTTTGATCTGTATATCTAAGTGACTTCAACTCATACAAAAATCTTGATGAGAGAGAAATATTTTTGTTAGGAGTAATATATGACTCGATTTTGCAAAGACCCATCTACTGTTTTACCAGAAAAAGAACAGTTTCAAATCTGAGGATAGAAAATAAAATGTGTTCACTGAATATAGTTCCTTTTTACGAGTCTCCAATTTTGTTTGATTTATGGTTTTGTTTTTTTAAAAGAAGTAAACATAAAAAGATAGCTAAATTAGAGGTGGGAAACATATTCATCCACGATTTTCCCCCCCAGCTTTCCTTTCTTCTAGGTTATAATTTCATTTATTAGCCAGTGAAAGTGTAAGGACTTAGCTGCTCAGTGTTCCATGAATAACAGCCTAGTTGAAATATTTTGTTAGAATATGAGACCTTTATCTCAAAAGCTGAATTCGTTATATACCTTACCATGCTTAGTTCTCATCAGGGAGCCTCTCCAGACTGTTAAATGGATTTGTCCAATATCACAGAGCAAAGCAGCAGGAAATCAAACCTTAGTTCTTGTTTTATCCTACAGTTGTTTTTCTCCCCAAACATTTCCTTATCCATGTCCAACATCAAATGGTACGGATGCTCACGAGAGCACAGGAAATAGACATTCGTAAGAGACAGCTGACTGTGCCTGAGTCATACATCTGTGACTCAGGAGCGCGGAATTGAAAACATCAAATATGCTAACTAATGTATCAGCTATTAGTAATCATAATGATAACTCCATATTGTCCGTATGCATTTTCTATCTCAGGAACTATAGCTCTTCCTTCATTACACTATCATAGGTATCAAGGAAAAGAATTATTAGCCCTAAACCTGCTTGACCCTGCCAAATCTTTATACTCAGCATGTGAGCCGATTATAAAGGTGTTTGTTTTTTTTTATAGATGTGCTTGCCTATCAGCCCATTGAAAACCAGAAACACTTTAGAAATGTAACACTGCAAATGTGGCAATATATTTGGGTAATTGTACATCTTGACAAAAAATACTCACCATAGCCTATAGAATAATCTAGTTTTTTCTCAGGTCTAGAGCACTTTCCATTAATTTTCTGAGACATTAGTATTAAGGATATAAAATTGAGAAAAAGCCACGAGTCTCTCTGTAAGAATTTTTAATTGTTTAGGAATGGAAAAATATAACCGGAACACGTAGTTAACAATTACATAAATGTTTTCTATATCAATTAGTTTCTCAAATCCCAACAGCATGAAATTAATATAATTCCTCCTAACAAATCATTCTCCAATGTTTTTCCACTTATTTTTTTCCTAGATTGAAAAAGAAAAAACAGGCCAAACAAAATGCAGAGACAGCCTCAACGTTGGCTACAAGAACTCATACTGGGAAAGAAGATGCTAAGACAGCCATTTTAGAGCAAGACAAGTGCAGCATTGCTGTGGAAGAGGAATATATCACTGATGAGAAAAAGAAGAGAAAAAATAATCAGTTGAAAGAGCTCAGACGTACAGAACTAAAGAGGTATTATAGTACTGGTGAGTATTGGTGGCAAAATTGCAGAATTTTCATTTTAAAAATATGTAGTAATTTTAAAGACTAATTTGTAAGTGATTATAATAATAGTAACAGTTTATTGAACAGCTACTATGTGCTAATGGCCCTTGCTTTCTATACGTAACCTTTTGTAAAGGGATGAGAATGAAATAACGGTTCTGTGTCTCCTTCAACTTTGTGTTCCCATCATCTAGCTCAGTGCCTAGCAGATAGTGTGTGCTGATAAACATTTGTCGAATGAATGGTCACTTCCCCTGTATGAGAAATATTTTTCATAATAATCACAGAATATGAAAAATAGCCATAAAAGTGTTGGTAGAAATGGGTGCACCTTTGGCATCAGCTAAGCAGCAGAAAAATAGATGGAGACATGGCCTAGCATCTGTCAGTTTAAAGAAAAAAATTGGGAGTTTTAGTTAAGGGGAATCACAGTGTTCAACAATTTCTCAGAATAGCCATTGCATCTGAAACTGCCTTAGGAAAAGTGGCATACCCAGCCTGATGAAAGTGATAACCCTGCTTTACTTGGATCATCCTTCTCACACCTGCTGCTCCTGTTACTTGCAGGCCTGGAGTATGTTTAAAAGAGAATGCAAAGAAAGAACCCTGAGTCCAAACCTGTGTGGCCTACAAATTGCAGTACTCAAGGTTGCTAGCTGGAGAGAAGACGGGGGTCACTGAGAGCCTGTTGCAGTATAGTTCGGGAAACATGGTCTTAGAGCAGAGACTTATTCCAAAGGGCCTCAAAGTGGGGTCATGGTTAATGCCAACGTGACCAGGAGACAGTTCTTGTCTCCATGCGTAATACAACTTTCTAATGGTGCTCATCAAAGATAAAATGGGCCCCCATTGGGGTGGTAGTAAGTAAGGCTGCGCTATCATCGCTCCAACAGAGGCAGATGAGTTTCTATAGCAGAAAGCGTGTGGTTTCCAGCATTCCAGTCGGCTGATGTGAGATTATATCATGTATTACACAGCTTACAGGATGCTTTTCATCTCAAGCCTTTCAGGACATTATAGAAAACTATAATTGCCAACCTACTGAAAGACACGTCTGTGTGATCAGTAAATGTCCTCTTAAAATATGATTTACATATTGGACATTTGCGGTGTTTATAATTGTGCAGTTTAAAATACAGGGGTGGACAAAAGTAGGTTTATAGTTGTGTATGATTTACACATTGGACATTTGTGGTGTTTATAATTGTGCAGTTTAAAATAGTAAAAAGTAGACAAAAGTAGGTTTATAGTTGTTCATTTGGAAAATAATGCAACAACTAATAAATAACAGTACAAGAACAAACTGTGTTTTGAGTACTTACAACTGTTAACCTGCTTTTGCTCACTCTGTACGATCCTTTTCCATCCTTACTTTAAATGCTGTTGCTTAAAGGTAAAGTGGAGACATCCAGCTCTGTAGGGTTTTTCTGAAGGAGGCTGAAAGTCCTAGCCATTGAGCTTTCTTTTTAGTGATGATACTAGTCTACCTGTGGATGCTGCATTAGATAGCTTTTCAATGCGGTGCCTTCTGTTGCATGTGTAACTCTATGAGTCTGAAACAGTATCCTTCACCCTCCCCAACTAATTCCACTTCACTTCACAAAATCAGCGCAGTCATCATTTCTTCCGGGAAGTCCTCCCTGATCCTGTTCAGGTTAGACTTCCCTTCTGTGGATTTATTTATCTGCTTCCCTATTTAGAGGCAGCCATGACTCGGACCCTGTACTTTTTGCTTTGTGCAGTATCTAAGGCAGCGGTTCTCAACCTGTGGGTGGTGACCCCTTTGGAGGTCGAACGACCCTTTCACAGGGGTCACCTAAAACCATCGAAAAACACATATATAATTACATATTGTTTTGTGATTAATCACTATGCTTTAATTATGTTCAATTTGTAACAATGAAATTGGGGGTCACCACAACATGAGGAACTGTATTAAAGGGTCGCGGCATTAGGAAGATTGAGAACCACTAAGGCATCATAGGTGATCTTTAAATGTGCTTGAGTGAGTGGGTGAATTAATCTGTAGATGAATGAATACTCTTTTTGATTTGAGTTTCGATGAAAACTCTGGAGGGATATAGATCCAGACAATATATTCAATATGATAGTTGGGTCAGAATTATTCTGTGATTTTTTTTGGTAGCAAGAAGTAGAGATGCCATCGTAGTTTTCATCTGTTCCCAGGAATGGCAGTGGTAACAGTGCTTGGAGGCTGGGCATTTCCAGAGGAGAATCCAGTGCTTAGAGGAAACTACTAGGTGGGCCTTTGAATTCCAGGCTTCCTGTTCCTGTTCATATCTGACTAGCTGACAAACCCTTCTTGGCAGGTTTGTTTGCTCTCACAGGCCTGACCTGCATGTTCCCTAGATCCCTATCCCAGGATGTGGTTCTGTGCCACTAGGTGGAGCGTGAGGCTGCAAGTGAGTGGTGATCCCAGTTCCAGGTCACTGCTTTCAGTGGCTCTAGTCTGAGGAGAAGTCACTAAAATGGGAGGGTCTTATCTGCCACATTAAGGATTTGGACTTTATCCCTTGGGAGAACTCCATCAACTCTTTGTTTTGAGATGACACATCTCAGGGTAATGGTGGAGGTGAGCTGACCAGGCGGTGGGAGACTGGGTCAGATAAGATAGGCACCCTGAAGAGAGATTTTGCTCTTAGAAGCAGCAGTATTTGGTTATTAATATAGTGTGTGAGAGAGTAAGAGAACAGTCAAGAATTTTGAAACTAGAAAACTCAGGAAGGAGGAAAAGAAGATAATAAATGGAAGCGTACTTTGACAAAATAATTGAAAGGGTTCAAACCCCAGCAGGTCCAGGGGTCCCCAAAGGTGTAGATGGAGTCAGCGAAGAAAGAATGACATAGAGACAGTGTTCAGTTGATCAGCAGCCTTGCCAGGATCTCTAGCCACAATCTCCAGCCAAGTTGTGTGTCCATGTTCTCTTGCTAGGTTCTCCAGGTTCTCCAGCCACGTTCTGTAGCCATGTTCTCTTGCTAGGTTCTCCAGCCAGGTTCGGTTTAGGTTCTCCAGCCAGGTTCGGTCGCCAGGTTCTGTAGCCGGGTTCTTCAGCCAGGTTCTGTCAAGGTTCTCCAACCAAGTTCTGCAGCCAGGTTCTGTCCAGGATCTTTTGCCATGTTCTCTCCAGCGAAGTTCTTCTGTCTCTAGGTTCTGTGTAGGGTCTGTCTTCTAAGTTCTGTCTCTCGGATCTTCATCTAAGGTCTGTGTCCTGTTGTCTTGTTACATCTGTATTTATACCAGTTGATTCCAATCCTATCAATCTCTATTCCAAAGGTTAGGGTGTTTCTTATCTCCATTCCAGGGAGTAAAGATT